CCTGCTTTATCTTTGTTCAAGATGTGCAGTGTAAAAATAATGAAATAGGCCGATTCTTAACTAAATTTGCCAGACCACCTTAGAGAAATTGTATCCTTTCCGTACTCTGTAAACAGCACATTCACGCACACGTATACACACACATACACACACATACACACACACACACACACACACACACACACATATATATAAAAGCACACACACACAGAGACACACACACACCTAAGATAAGTTTTGAAATATCACATAAACACACACATACTGTCTGTCTCTGTCTGTCTCTCTCTTTCTCTCTGTATGTCTCTCTCTCTCTCTCTTTCTCTCTGTATGTCTCTCTCTCTCTCTCTCTCTTTCTCTCTATCTGTCCCCCCTCTCTCTCTGCCTGTCTGTGCCTCTGTCTGTCCTTCTCTCTGACCTTTTCTTTCTACGTCTCTCTGTCTCTCTGTCTCTCTATCTTTCTCTCCGTCTTTCTGTCTTTCTGTCTTTTTCTCTGTATTTCTCTCTCCGTCTCTCTATCGATCTGTCTCTCTGTTTCTCTTTTGTCTCCCCCTCTCTCTCTCTCCCCTCTCTCTTTCTCTCTCTCTCTCAGTCTCTACTCTCCCCCCTCTCCCACCCGCTCCCTCATAGACCGTCGTGTGATACAAGACACGAGCCATGAAAGAACTTCACGGTGTTTTAATGTTACCGACCTGGCTGGATAAATTGGGAACAGTATTGCATGTTCTTGCTGCGCTGGCAAAGATCTGTGTGTCTGATAGTGCTCGCGATCTTGTACCTTTGGCCTGTTGTGGAGCTCTAGAAACACGTAATAGTGTAAGCGGAGAAGGCTTTTCTGGCAGTAAAGTTGTACCGGGAACATTAATTGTGAGGCAGCATAGTGAAATCAGGCGCTCGTCGAAAAAATATGGAAATCGGAGAAACAGGATAGGCATTTTTCCAGCAGTTTGGAAGAAATTTTTATTGAATTTTTAATTTTTTGGCTTAACCTCTTTTAGGTCCATATAAAAACACATTCCCATGTGAATTTTACTGAAAAACATTGATTAAAGGCACAAAATATGTCATTTTTCAGTTTTCAAAGACTCTTTAAACGATTGGACTTACCAAACTTTGGCGGCCATTTTCTAGCTAATTTCACCACAGAAACCAGGCAACTTCTCTTCCTTCAATGGAAAATAATTTTAAAAATAATATCTTGAATTGTATTCAAGATAAATGGATACCTATTTCATTGGAAACAAGGCAAATAAATCAGTTTTCAGATGATACCAATAACTCCACATACATGCCCCAAAAATTGACGAGCGGCTGATTCCACAACGTCGTGACACATTTGGGAAATTGAAGATAGGGTGCGTATCAGGGAATGATATGACGTTAAATGTTTTATGAGTATGTTACGTTTTGTTAACACACACGCACACTCTGTGTTTTTTAAAAATTTCTTACCCCCCCCCTTCCAATATTTTCCTTTCTCACTCTTCCTC